CTTTTCCAGTACTTAAGTTGTACTACCACCCAGCACAATCCAGCCAGGACCCCAAACGAGGCATTTCCAGTGCTAAAGTTGTAGTACAACCAAGCACAATCCAGCCAGGACCCCAAACGAGGCTTTTCCAGTACTTAAGTTGTACTACAACCCAGCACAATCCAGCCAGGACCCCAAATGAGGCATTTCCAGTACGAAAGTTGTACTACAACCCAGCACAATCCAGCCAGGATCCCAAACGAGGCATTTCCAGTACTAAAGTTGCACTACAACCCAGCACAATCCAGCCAGGACCCCAAACGAGGCTTTTCCAGTACTAAAGTTGTCATACAACCCAGAACAATCCAGCCAGGACCCCAAACGAGGCACTTCCAGTACTAATGTTGTACTACAATCCCAGACATGTAGATACATAGCTGGAAATCCTGCAGAACGACAAGGCGCCTGCCCAAAAGCGATAACGCCGTATAAGGGTTGGGAGGGCGGCCTCATAGGTTTTGCCGCTGGCTCATCTTCCTACCTTGCATATCCAAGGTCTTCCCACACAAACTTCGCAGTGAGCACTCTCACTCAAGTGCAGCGCAGGATATTCCGGCGCAATCCATTCCGGTCAACGGTTTGCACAAGCTCCACTGTCGAACAGTATCCACGACTTATCGATCAATCAAGCTTGCCGCGAAATCAATGTGCCGATCAAAAGCATGCTCCATGCATGGAACAGTTTCGGCGTTATTCCAGGCGTCGCACCGGTGCCGTAGTCCTCTAAACCTCAAACTTGCCAACAGCCTAAACTGCCCCCCAAACCCCGCACCTCAAACTGAACCCCCCCAGCCTCTAAATCCCAAAACCCCATTTTCCTGAAGCACCTTAAACCGCAAGCCTCCTCAGCAACAAATTGTGAGCCACGCAGCCCTCAACCGTTTATCCCTTTGCCTAATTCAGCCAGTAACACCTCTTTGGAAATCTTAGACTTGACCACGAAACCTTTAACCCGGAAGCCCCTACATCCCAAACTGACGGCCCCCACCTGCTGCTGTCCAGGTCAAAGCTAAGCACAAGCATAAGAACATATTAAAAAGGCATGCGCGGTCATGTACCATACACTGCCATACACAATGAATTGTTTGGTTAGTTATGATTCAAAAACACGTCTTGGATGATATGTTTTGCTAAACAAGGCACGTGCACTCATGTACCATACACCATGATTTGTTTGGAAATCATTCAAAATCACTTCTTGGATGGTATGTCTTGCTCTTGGATAAATTAAAGCATCCTTCTTTGGTGCAACAAATATCCCAAACCTGTTTTCCCAGCATCGAGAAAAGTATATATCATACACAATGCTTTGGTTTGGTTATGCTGTTGTGTTTGCCCAATACATGTGTTCATCGCATTTTCTTTTTGTTGTCCCAGCATCAAGAAAGGAATTCGATTTTGCCCATAAAATATTCTTCAATTGCTAAAACAAACTGTTTGATTATTGTGCCATCATGCCCAACCTTTTGGGGGGATGAGATTTCTACATATAGACAGGGTTTTACATGCCCATGACTTTTTAACATAGATAGCAGCCACCGTATATGCATAATCCCATACCCCTAATACCGTTGATCCCCCGGATACCTTGGTAGAGGATTGTTGGCTAGCCTTCAAGCCGGAAATCAATCTCCAAGACTCGCCCAGAAAATCAACTACACTATATTCCTAAACCCTAAACCCTTATTGGCTGGTCCAGGAGCGTTTTTTGGACCCGGCGTGTGCACTTCTTGCGGGCGTTGGCAAGCATTCAAGCCGGAAATCAGTCCCCAAAATTCGCACCAAAAAAATCAAGTAAGTTTGGTGGGCTTTTCTCTGGTACTGGCCCAGGAGCGTTTTTTTACACCCGGCGTGTTGGCATTGGCTAGCTTTCAAGTCGGATATCAGTCCCCGAAACTCGCGCCAAAAGTCGGCTGCTTTTTCTGTGGTAATTTAGGCGGGTCCAGGAGCGTTTTTCGGACCCGGCGTGTGCACTTGTTGCTGGCATTGGCTTGCTTTCAAGCCGGAAATCAATCTCCAAAACCCGCCCAAAAAATCAATTATTTTTGGTTGATTTTTCTCGTGCAATTTTTGGCGGGTCCAGGAGCCTTTTTTGGACCCGGTGGGTGCACTTCTTGCTGGCGTAAAATCATTTTTTTCATTTCCCTTTGGCAATATTGGCTAGTCTAGGAGCGTTTTTTGTGCACTTGCTGCTGGCGTTGGCTAGCTTTCCAGCCGCAAAACTCGCGCAAAAAATCAATTGAATTTGGTTGATTTTTCTCGGGCATTTTGGGGCGGGTCCAGGAGCGTGTTTTGTACCCGGCGTGTGCACTTGCTGCTGGCATTGGCTAGCTTCAAGCCGGAAATCAGTCCCCAAAGCCCCCCCAAGCAAACTCAACTTTGGGCGGGTCCAGGAGCAGCTTTTGGACCCGACTTGTGCACTTGTTCCTGACGTTAGCTAGCTTTCAAGCCGCAAATTAGTCCCAAAAACTCGCCCCCACGGCACATGCCGCACCTGCATGCCGACTGCATGCCGCTGCTCGCTGCCGGCGGACACGGCGCGCCCACCTGCATGCCGCTGCACCCCCTTCGCCGAACACCGCGCGCCCCACCTGCATGCCGCCATATGCCACCTGCAAGCCGCTGCACCCCCTGCGGCGGCAGTGGACACAGCGCGGCCCCTTTTTGTTCCAGAACCCCTTTTCGCTAAAGCTATCTGGGGAACAGATGCAGTCGATCATTCAGTGACTGATTTCGCCGTTTTCGCCCTTCACGCGCAAAAAAAGGGTTCAAAAAAGGAGTGATGTGCATTTGACTAGTTGGACGGGATCTTGGATGCATTGGCTTGCCCCCCAAGTCCTTCTCATGTTCCGCTTCATCCGAAGCCAGCTTCTGTGCAGTGATGGGTCTGTCATGCGCGGCCGCAAACAGTGCAGGTCTTGCTGATGGTGTGCTCAGACAACGTTCCTGCTCAGCGTCTCTACGAATGCTTGGGATACCTCCAGATATTCCAGGCGCAACTCTTTCAGTTGCAAAAATGCGGTGATTCACTGCCATCAAAGGGTGGCTCCTCCTCTTTGATCCTTCCTCTGCACTTGCTGCGATCTCTGCGCATTGTCCAGGATCCATGGGCTGTCCGTGCAGTTCCAGCAGACAACGGAGAAATCGACCGAATTCGGGTGATGAACTTCGGCTATTCTAAAGGGCTCTCGAAGGCACGGGGTATGGTGCCGGGATTGCTGGACCGACGAAGCCGTGCCGCAGGTGCCCGAAGAACGAAGCCCCTTCGATTCTGCACGGCAAGCCAACTCCCCCAATCTCGCACTTTGCTTACTACGCTGATTTGTGCTTCAAGTCTGCATTTTGTAGTCCAGTCAACGGAAGCATTGCAAATCTTGCCAAGGCACAAATGCTTAGCAGAACTTGGTCTTCGCTGGCATCCCAGTTAGGCCGGATCCGACTTTCGCGGGCTTGAAGTGAACATGCGTCTTCAGGAGGACACACTCCCTGCCACTTCTGCAAGGTATGTGGAAGACATGAGGTTTGCGGCTCTCGCATCGCAGGGTGTGCTGCGAGGTTCAAAAGTACCGAATGCCCAAGTGCGACGGCACAGGGTTGAGCCAATGGGCCAATGGTGAAGATGCCGTCTTTGATGCAAACTTGACAAGATTAAGCTTGCAGGTGGCAATGGCTCCAATAGCCGTGAAACAGAAGAACTTGCCTTCGACCTGCAAAAGTCCGACTTCATTGTCGCGGTCGAGCAGGCGGGCTTATGTGGCAAAAGCTTCGGGCTTCTACATGCCCCGTTGCAAAGCGTTCTTCGAAGTACTGCATTCTTCGCACGTTTCAATCTGACCTCGCTGCCAGACGATTTCCTGCAATCTCTGCAGAATCCCTGCCTTGACTGCTTTGACTCCCGTTTCTCCCCTTCAGCGTTCAGCCTGAGTCACATGGCCTTTTCGGTTTCGAATTCTGCTAGGCAGCTGTTGGAAACAGTGGCAGTTTGGGCGCTCAACTGCTCTTCATCACCGTGCCATACTCAGACCAGCGTTTGTTGTTCGCTGGAGGTCGGGGGGTTCTCCGTCTAGAGTTCAGATATGTTCAGATCAGATCAGGCTAGGGCGTTGCATTGTGTTGCAGTCGAGCCCGGGCTCTCCTCTGCGGCATGTGCTCGGCATGTGCTGGCATGTGGGTCTGTCCTGAACATTCGCCAGTGCGTCCCTCCATGTCATCCTGGCACATTTTGGCAAGGGCCCACGACACGCCTGCACAGTACGTTGTGGATGTTGTACCAACTCGAAGTTCACAGAGCTGCTAGCTGCTTGCCCTGAAGCAGCTGTGGTGCGGCGCACATGTCGCTCACGAATGAAGGAAGGATGCGGCCAGCGGCCCCCTTTCGCGCCCAACCGGCTTAGTCTCCGGGGCTTCTCATTCTTTCGTATGCAGTCGAACGTATACCCAGACCCGAACTCGAAGCATCTCGAAGCCCTCGTAACCCCACCGATGTCCTGGCCCCCTGCAAAACCTACGTGAAGTTTCAAACAAATAAAGCTGGTAAGAACCCTAGCAAAATCTGCAAAACCGTCACAAGTAGTAGAGACTTGAGGTTTAAACTCATTGACACTATTAGCGTGCTGTTTCCTTGAGGCTAGCAGCCGAACGCTCTACGTGGTGGGCCAAAGCCATCGCAAGAGAGAGCCATTGCCGAGCAGAGCAAGACCCCGAGGAAAAGTCATGGCACTGAATTCTGACGGAAAGCTGCCACTGACCTGTGCTGATTCGATGTGAATCTACCCGCTGCTCTGAGGTTCGAGTGGATGTTCATGCTGGAGAACAGATCGTTGGCTTGCAGGTCGGTTCTTGAGAATCATACTCATGCGCAGAGTAGTTCCATGAGCCAAAACCAGCTTTTTGCCACCAAAATAGCGTTTTTCCTTTGCCAGGCGATGTCCGCCCCCAAAAGTGTTTCTTTTAGCCTTTTCCAGGCACTCTTCCAAGCCCCCTAAATTGGGCTTTTCTTTGTGGCCTGTTACCAGCCCCCCCAAACCCCCACCCCCCCACCCCCAAAAAAAAAACGGGCTTTTTGGCCTTTTGCAGTTTAGTTCTTAGCCGTTTCCAGACACTCTTCCAAGCCCCCCAAATGGAACTTTATGGCCTGTTACCAGGCCCTCTCCAGCCCCCCAAAATGGGTTTTATTTGGCCTTTTGCGCCCCGTCCAGTTCCGCATTTCGGGCGCGTACGGGCCGGAAAGCCAAATAGAGGAAGAATCGGTGGTCTCGGAGACAGAGAGACAGAGAGACGAGAGAGAAAGAGAGCGAAAGAGAGCGAGAGAGTGCGAGAGAAAGACAGGGAGAGGCGAGAGAGAGAGCGCGATAGAGCGCCAAAGAGAGCGAGGGAGAGCGAGAGAGAGAGCGAGAGGAACCTTTTTCCGGTTCGGTTTCCAGGGTTCGCCTGCGGTTCGGTTCGGGTGCGGTTCGGTTCTGCGCGGTTCGGTTGTTGCGGTTCCGGTTCTGCGGTTCCGGTTCGGTTCCACGGCCTTCCTGAAACCCACCCTTCACTGCTGAACCCTGCTGAACGAATTGGTGCCCAGGACATGCCGTCCATGTGGATGAAAAGTTGATGGTAAGGGATTTTCTCTGTTCTCCAGGTAGAATTTGGAAGGATCATTGGCGTCGAAACAGCCCTCGAGCCAGCCGATGCTCAGCTGCAGTGAAGCTGGATCGAAGATGATCGATTATTTGTGTGTGTGTGTGCGTGTTGCGGATAGCATGAGCTGCATGCCGCAGGTCGCCGACTGCGACTCCGATTTGCAGGAATAGCCACACATGGAGCTGAAGCCGATGAGTCCAAGCATGCAGGGTGTTCATCAGAGAGTCGTCTTGAGTGTGTAGGGGCAAGCTGCTGTTCTGCACATTGCTCTGTGCCGAAGAGCGGCGCAACCGAGCAATGCTTTCATCTTGCAGGCTGATGCCGAGCACCTGCAATGTACATAAGCGCTGGCCGGCAGATCTGCAAAGCTCGGACCTTCTTGGTCGGGGCATCTGCGAAATTGGGCAGATCTGCAGAAACGTGCAGATCTGCTGAGTCCGTTTGGCAGACAAGGTGCTTGAACAAGCAAAACCTTGAGTGGGACTGGTCGGCAAATCACCATTCTACGGTTTCATCGCAGTCTGTGTGTCAAACACCGTCGTATCTGTTGTCCGTGAGTTTTGTGTGAGGTCTCAGCGTAGCTGTCATAGCCGGGCTGGGGCCGAGCATCTTGCAATGGAGCCGCAATCCCAACAGGCTGACGAGGCAGGAGTTGTCTTCCCGAGCTCGTGGTGTGCAAGGGATGTTTTGTCAACACCATCTTCCTGACAAATCAATCCTTCGTGGCACTTCGGGGCTAGAAAAATGACAGAGCCCTGTTTCGGAAGTCTCCACCTTAGGTTCCCCCCTTTGCAAAGCCCACCATTATATTCACTTCTAGCAGTCTTCAAGCCAAGACTCGGTAAGGCCAGTTGGTGAGACATGTGCTTGGCCAGGGCGTTTAGTGCCGAGCCGTGTGCGACAGAGTTGAGAATGGCTTTCGGTGAGTACAGCTCGGGCACAAGAAGGACATGCTATAGATTTTTACAGGGTTGCGAGATGCAATCGGATTGCTCCTGCTAGTAGCAACGATCCTCGAGGCCTTTGAGTTGCTTTGCCTCATGATCTCTAGCCTCCTCTCAAGTGATGTGGCTCAGACTTGACAGGGGGCTTCAAGCCGCTGGTGGCAGCCAAAGCCTCGAATCTGCCAGCGAAGTCAATTTATTGAGCTCTCTCTGGAAGAGACTCGGCGTGTGCACGGGCTTACAGTACTGCTGGATTCGAGACTGTGCGTGGAAGCCGCCATGTGTGGTTCAAGCTCGGGCCCAGTAGGGCAAGATGGTTGTCTTCCAAACATATGCCGGCCTGGCAGTGCCTCTCTCGCATTGAAGCTGCGTGTGCTGAAGGTGTCTCTGAGCTTGCTGAACTATGGAAATTCTACTACGCAAGCCCAGCACACTCAGTCTCGAGCACGGAGCTGTTTATCTGTTGGATGCCTTCTCTTCAGATCATTGCGTGTGTGCATGTGTATACATCCTCTTTGTCTCCCCTCCGAGTGTATTTGTCCGCTGGCTTATCTATCGGCACAACCGAGGATGTTTACATACCTTACACATGTACATATAGAAGTATATACACATATATCATATACATATAGACACATACATACATACATA